TAGTTTTAATTAAATTTCTGTTCAAATGAGGTAGCTTTACGTAAATATTTTCATGACAAAATCTACCTATTTATTTTATACGTGAGTAGTTATTTTATCGATACGAACGCAAACATTCTTCAATGTGTCTTCGTTCGTTCGTTCGTTTCAGCTGAAAGACGTCCGCTGCTGGACAAAGGCCTCCCCCAAGGATTTTCACGAAGACCGATCCTGCGCCGCTCGCATCCAGGCACCTCCCGCGACCTTCACCAGATCGTCGGTCCACATAGTGGGAGGCCTGCCCACCAGCCGGCTCGTGGTCGCCACTCAAGAACTTTCCTGCCCCAGCGGCCATCAGCTCTACGAGCTATGTGCCCCGCCCACTGCCACTTTATTTTAGCGATTCTGCGGGCTATGTCAGTCACTCTGGTTCTCCTACGGATTTCTTCATTTCTGAAAAAAAAATACGAGAAAAAGTATCAATTTCAAATGTCTCTTAACCGAAGAATTTTTGAATACATAATTTTCTCATATTTTGTAGTGTCGCAAATGGGCCGGCTCTCCTTTTTCTCACCTAAAACATAGTACCAAACTGTAACTTCTACCTATCTTAACTTCGAAAGTGCCTACTTAGAAAATAGCTATAAATATTCCTTAACGCCCTATATTAAAGCAAATTGAATGGAGTGCCTTATCTCTCTCATATGACCCCGTGTACCCTCAGTAACTAGCCCTTGTTTATATCACAATAGAGTTCAATACAGAACAATAACTTGAAGATTAACAAAGCCTTTCACGGTCGGTTAGGAGTAAATAATGTTCCGTAGCTTGTCAAAGGAGCATCGCCTATAATAATAAATTTTACTAACGTTATAATACAATTTATGGGTTTTTGAGTATCTAAACACATGGTGTTATCTGACGTATTATGGGATTGATATTGTTTGTTATCATATCGTTGTATGGAAATATTTTGCCAAATAAATTATAGCCTTCTGATAAACAACGTATGCATAGATTAGATCGGCTACTGGGATTTAGCTATCAAGTATCTTCAATGAGCCTTATGCACATATAACTTAGCATTTACATGTCTTTAGCGACGAAAATGTATACTAAATATTCGCTATAAGAGTAATTTGAACGCGATGCCTACTGTTTTATAAGTCCTGAGTTCGATTCCTTGACAGAAAGATTTTTATGAATTGGTGTAGGTAATTATTCCCAATTTAGTCAGGGTATTGTAAGCTTGATTTAATAAGCTTTAGAGGACACTTTAAGCTGTCAATCAGAAGTCATGTCATATGCTTCTGACCTCAGGTGTTACAACCCACACGACAGTGACAGCAATAATTGTCAATTATACCTACTAAACTATGTACTGAAGGGAATTCGAATCTTGACTGCGAACTCCTCCTGTTCTTCTGATTAATTTCGTTGCGGGTCCAATGACAGATTAACATTCTCCCGGGACAAATTTCATCTTCACTGGGTTTATAATGGCGGTCAAGCTGTAGATCCTGGCTACACAGGAGTTTCAGCGGTGGGAACGAGAGGTGGGAATAGTCCCGTTTAAAAAATATACTATACATTCGTAGGTATCCATTCACTTGCTCACCTATAAACAATCTAGATGGATGAACTTTAAACGAACTCCTCATTTCAAGCCATATCTAAGAGATATGAAATAGTAAATCCCGCTAAAGCACTGGCGGTGTTAGAGCGAGGTTATCAGACGATTTTGTCGGAATAAACTATGCTATCTTGGCCCTTTGGATGTATTTCAAGTTCACATTCATGCACGTGGATGTGTGAAACGAACGGAGATCATAGATGGATGCGGTATAACAATGGGTATCAGTAAATGTTTGCATACAAGCAGTAGGTTTTTCACATAACTAAAACAATATTTTCATCCTATTCTAATAGACCTGAAGGGTCTAATAGGCTAAGGGTGGCTTGTCAAGCTGAATCGAACTAGTCTGATTTATTATACTTACTGGATTAGAGGGAAATTTTCAAATAACGTTTTATGAACGATAAATCAGATATATTAGAATTGTCTTGGGTTCGTGTGCAGTTTTCTCTTTGAACTTGGTCCCTCGCCTTACGTCTTGACCTACACTAGTTCGTCACTGGACGAATAATCTGATGAAGGCCGCGGAAAATCTTTATACACTCGCGAGCAAAACTATGGAATCACTTACATGAAGTTGTTTCCACGCGAACTTGTGTACTAACGAATTTGTTAGTAACAAAAAAAAGGCACCATTTTAAAGATTAAACTTTTATCTTTAAATTGATACCAAATTCATTTAAATCACACTAGTATTTAAAAAGATATCCCGGCTGATGTGAAGAAGTAACGAAAAAGACATGTATGAACTGTTTGATACGTCGCGAGTTGCGGCCTATTTACCCCCTATAAAAGCATGCGTTTTTAGATTTTTGCTTTCACACGTTGATTCATACACATCTCCGATTCTTTTGACACTTTACCTGGGATTCTACACCTTCAGAAGCAGCACAAATCGTTGCACTATTGCAAGAAAGGCTCAGCCAGCGGGCTGTCGCACGTCAGCGCCACATAAGCCAGTCCTGGGTTTCGAAAGTTTCAAGACGCTTTCGGGAGACTAGTGGCTTTATCCCGAGACCAAGTTCTGAACAGCGCCGGTGCACATCGCAGAGGGAAGACCGTTTTTTCATGTCAACCTCTCTATGAAATCGTCATTTGACTGGAATCGATGTCCATCAAGAGCTCAGAAATGTTCGTAAGATAGCTGTTAGCGAGTGGACAGTTCGTCTAAGATATAAGCAATAGAATTTGACTCCAAAAAGGCCTGCCACAGGCTCGAAACTGACGGCAGGTCACCGATAAGCACCCTTTCAATTTGCTCGTACACATCTCGATGGGAAGGCGAGTAATGGAGGCGAGTTCTGTTCTCCGATGAATGCAAACTGTGTTTGCAGGGCAGCAGTCGAAGAGGTCGGGTTTATAGGCGGCCTGAGGAGCGATTTGTGCAGTGCTGGTTCGCTGAAACAGTGGCTTATGGGGGTGGCTTGCTCGACTTAACATCGAGATGTGTACGAGCAAATTGAAAGCGTGCTTATTGGTGACCTGCAGTCAGTTTCGAGCCTGTGTCAGGCCTTTTTGGAGTTAAATTCTATTGCTTATGTCTTAGACAAACTGTCTACTTGCTAACAGCTATCCTACGAACATTTCTGAGCTCTTACTGGACGTCGATTCCAGTCAAATGACGATTTCATAGAGAGGTTGACATGAAAAAACGGTCTTCCCTCTGCGATGTGCTCCGGCGCTGTTCAGAACTTGGTCTCGGGATAAAGCCACTAGTCTCCCGAAAGCGTCTTAAAACTTTCGAAACCCAGGACTGGCTTATGTGGCGCTGACGTGCGACAGCCCGCTGGCTGAGCCCTTCTTGCAATAGTGCAACGATTCGTGCTGCTTCTGAAGGTGTAGAATCCCAGGTAAAGTGTCAAAAGAAGCGGAGATGTGTATGAATCAACGTGTGAAAGCAAAATTCCGAAAACGCGTGCTTTTATAGTGGGTAATAGGCCGCAACTCGCGACGTATCAAACAGTTCATACATGTCTTTTTCGTTACTTCTTCACATCAGCCGGGATATCTTTTTAAATACTGGTGTGATTTAAATGATTTTGGTATCAATTTAAAGCTAAAAATTTAATCTTTAAAATGGTGCCACTTTTTTGTTCCTAACAAATTCGTTAGTACACAAGATCGCGTGGAAACAACTTCATATAAGTGATTCCATACTTTTGCTCGCGAGTGTAGTATAGATAGACAGACATACAGCGCAGGTTCAGTCGTAGTAGAAATCCTTGGAGGAGAATCCTTGGCCTTGGCAGCAGTGGACGTGCTGGGTAAAGCACTAAGTTGAAATGAATGATAATATTTTGTAAAATGTCCAAAATAAATAAATCATCATCATATTTCAGCCATAGGACGTCCACTGCTGAACATAGGCCTCCCCCAACGATTTCCACAATGTCCGGTTGGTGGCGGCCTGCATCCAGCGCCTTCCCGCTACCTTTATGAGGTCGTTGGTCCACCTTAATTTTAAGCATTAATAAATAAATGTTACCAGCCAATTCCACCGCATCCACGGCTTACCAACTCCCGAGCAGGTGAACTGCGCTAGGTCCAGCCCACGCTGGGAAAGGGCAAAGATGAGCGGCGCACCACACACCTAGGCGCGGACATATATCCGCTAATAAATGAGCCCTAACTAATAACATGGAACCATACATTATGCTCTCAAAATTGATCGCGTCTTGTTTTTGAGGATTAGATTTTGCAAAACGAATAAAAGTAGCCGTAAACTCATAAAAGTCGTTTCTTTTAGTTTTTAAAAACCGCTTTTACACGTCCCAGTATTACGAGTATGTACTTTAATCCTACCACTGTTAACGGAAAATAAATGGATCAGTGCTGAGAAGAAGCAGTACAAAAAACTTACTCAATTACCTCACTCAGTATAAGAACGAACTACTTTCAGGAAAGTTTGTCGGCGAGTCAGTAGATGTGTGTAGGGTTTTTTTTTAGAAATAAGTCTGTTCTAGAATACTTTAGTCTATTAATTAAACATACCTATTCCTATTAAGCTTCTTACATCATACTAACATTATTTGATCATCATTGTCATCAGGTTTTTCAGTCCCCACTGTAGAATCTTGACCCTCTCATATCTACCAGGGGATGTATTTCGAGTAGAATTCGTACTTTCAATCGCTATTGACATTTTTGTTGGTAACCTGTACCTGTAAAACCAAAAATTTATATCAGGCTATAAGGGATTTTCAATAAAGTAACATCATAGGACCGTTCGTTGTGGAAATGCTTGTGGGAGACCTTTATCCAGCAGTGGACGTCATTTGGCTGAAACGACGACGAACATCATTAACCCTCGCTGTACGAGGTGGGGTGTGACACACCCCAGTCCTTTAAAAATAGCCACAATTTTAAAAATTTGCAAGTGCTGAATTTGAAATTCTCAGTAGCTGGAATTATGACACTGCTGCTTCGATCAGCGTTGCAAAATCAGTCCAGCGGTGACTACCAACTGAGTTACATGCCTTTAAAGTGCGTGTGGGTGTCACACACCCCACCTGGTACGGGACGTTGTTAAAAAGTTAAAAAAAAAATGTAACAGTTTTGGTGTAATTTATATATTTTTAGCTTTTTCAATTGAATAAAATTCAATACAAGTAATATTTTTCGTGATTTTTACGGNCAAATATTATAGCTAAGGCCTCTTTTTCAATCTGTGAATAATTTTTTTGAGCGTCATTTAAGGTGCTAGATGCAAAATAAATAGGGTCACCATCAATATAATGGCTTAGAACTGCCCCAACTCCATAACTACTTGCATCAGTTGTAACATAAATATCTTTACTGCTATCAAAATGAACTAATAAGTTATCACTTGTAATTAATTGTTTACTAGTCTTGAAAGCATTATCACATTGTTCTGACCATTGAAAACTTTGACTTTTATCATTTTTTAACAAACTACACTCAGCGGCACGGAATTTGGCCCAAGCCTAAACACCCAGATATGAGGCCAAATGGGTGTTGTGTACCTAAGTTTCGTGTGACATGTTAACAGAACATTTGTTTTTGTTAATTTAAGTGGCTAGATTTATAAAAAAATGCGTCTGTTTAACTTTTTTGACTCTACAAACGCATTTCGTTGTTTGGAGCGTAAAGAGTACGGGTAAGTTTAAATTCGATATTAAACGTTGTAAGGGTTTTGCGTTTTGTTTTTTGTTTTTAACTTAATCTTAGGGTTATTCTCGTTTCCATAATTTGAAAATAATGCCCATTACTCCAGCTCAAGTTGCTCAAATAGTGTTGCTTAGAAGTCAAGGGCGTATGCAGCGGGAGATGGCTGAAACTTTCAATTTATGGCGTACAAACTAAAGATACACGTTAAAAAGGCAAGACCAGACCGCCTTTTACACAAGAAGACCAAGAAGTCGGGAATAAAGGTGTAAATCAGCGCGCGATGACCCGATTATCGTGCTTGCGATATCAAGAAATCGGGTTCTCACTACGTTTGAGATACGCCAGCGTTTACAAACAGCAAGTCCAGTGAATATCAGTGAGCACACAATAAGAAGAAGGATGGAGGATCATAACCTGCATATTTGAAGACCAGCTCGAGGACCAGAACTTCTCCGATATCTTCGCGAAGTGCGACTTACGTTTACTAGAGAACATGCAAATTGGACGCAAGGCTAATGGAGTAAAGTTCTATGGATCGATGATTGCAGAGTCACCTTAAGAGTTCCAGACGGCCGTGGAAGTGTATAGAGAAGGTGCGGGGAAGAGTTACTACGCAAACAGACAGTTTTCATAAAGAGTTTACTTCATTATTCTAACGTCCAATTTGCATGTTCTCTAGAAAATGTAAGTCGCACTCGTCGCGAAGGTATCGGAGAATTTCTGGTCCTCGAGCTGGTCTTCGAGTATGCAGGTTATGATCCTCCATCTTTCTTCCTATTGTGTGCTCACTGACAATCACTGGGCTTGTTGTTTGTAAACTCTGGCGTATCTCAAACGTGGTGAGAACCCGATTTCTTGATATTGCAAGCACGATAATCGGGTCATCGCGCGCTGATTTACACCTTAATTCCCCACTTCTTGGTCTTCTTGTGTAAATGGCGGTCTGGTCATGCCTTTTTAACGTTTATCTTAAGTTTGTACGCCATAAATTGAAAGTTTCAGCCATCTCCAGCTGCATACGCCCTTGACTTCTAAGCAACACTATTTGAGCAACTTGAGCTGGAGTAATGGGCATTATTCTCAAATTATGGAAACGAGAATAACCCTAAGATTAATTTAAAAACAAAAAATAAAGCGCCAAACCCTTACAACATTTAATATCGAATTTAAACTTACCCGTACTCTTTACGCTCCAACAACGAAATGCGTTTCTAGAGTCAAAAAGGTTAAACAGACGAGTTTTTTTTTTATAAATCTAGCCTCTTAAATTAACAAAAACAAATGTTCTGTTAACATGTCACACGAAACTTAGGTATAAAACACCTATTTGGCCTCATATCTGGTTGTTTAGGCTTGGGCCAAATTCCGTGCCGCTGAGTGTAAATTATCCTGCTTTCGCCTCCGAGATTTATTTTACCGTGTAGTACCCCTGTACGACAACCCAATCCGCACACAATATTCAGCGTAGTAGTATTAAAAAACAAAAGAGCGGGCAACCCCACCCCTACCACGCTGTGGGCTCGGTGTCCGAGCGGTCTCATTCCTTTGTGCGCACGCGCAACGACCGCACGCAGTATAAGAAAAATGCTTAAGTGACGTCACCAGGACGTTTTTACCGACAAAAAACGTAATTATTTTAAGTTGTGCAGTGTAGTGACGAGAATTAGACCCAACACAAGGTTGGTTGTAACAACTATTTTGTGTAAGTGCTCGTACATTTTTATTATAAGCGTTGTGACACGACGCGTAACTTTGACCCATTTTTAGCTCCAAGTTAACGCGCGATGTTAACCAGTAGCCATTTTTTGCTCCGAGGTAATACGAGATGTTACCCAGTAGCCATTCTTTTGCTCCGAGGTAATGCGAGATGTTACCCAGTAGCCATTTTTTTCTCCGAGGTAATGCGAGATGTTACCCAGTAGCCATTTTCTGCTCTAGCGAGTTAATACGAGATATTAACCAGCAACCACTTTATATTCGGTCATTTTTGTTATGTTATACCTGTATCTGTTGTCTTGGTATTGAAGATTATGAAGCCAATTTCTTATGTAATAGATAATTTTATATTTATTCTAAATATTTTGTATAGACTCTATTTTATAACAGTCCGAATTGATAAACATCATTGTAATTCTTCATATTATATATTTTCATTGAAATACATTTCCATGTACAGTTATACTTATTATATCAATATACACTGGTATGAATTGATGTGCCATTTGCTACTTGATTGTGAAGTTACTATTCTACATGGAATATTCGACCTATTTACTACTGTTTCTTTGTATTGCTTAATTCAATTTCATTACAATTTTATACCTTATTTAATTCAAATCTCAAATTATGTAACTGTCAATTTATATGTGAGCCTACTATTATTTATCTATGTTAATCCCTATTATATTTTTATTATAATATTTACAATTATGAATCACATTTTGACATCCCGTTATTGGTGCTTATTTACACAACCCAACTCACAGGCCTTAGGCTAAAAAATCTATTGTTAGGTCTATATAATGCAGGGTCTCTCTGTACAGGGCATGACGAATTTACTGCTGCGATGGTGGAACTTGCTCCTGACATTATGGCCATAAATGAAACCTGGCTGCGTTTGGGAGAGGAGGACAGGGCGCCAAAATTGTCAGGTTATCGTTTGAGACATGTTCCGCGAGATATTCAGGTTCGGGGGGGTCGTGGAGGGGGGGTCGGTTTTTATATACGGAAGGGTTTAAATATCAAACAACTAGAATTTCCTACATCTATTCCACCTGTTGAGCAGATGTGGCTGAAAGTTCACTCACGCGGTCAAAATATAATCGTGGGAACTGCATACAGACCACCCTGGCAAGACATAAACATGTTCCTGGACGCTATCACAGACTCAGTCACCTCTTTCTCGCACTCTGACGGCTTAATATTGATGGGAGATTTTAATATCAATCTCCTTGATAACAGTAGTCGCGGCTATGGGGCCTTCATGCAATTCATCGAGAGCTTAAATCTAACTCAAATGGTTAAGGACCCAACCCACTTCACAGACCATAGTGCCACTTTGATAGATGTGTTGTGCACTGATGTTAGGGTTCCCAAGCTGACAGTAAGGCATTCGCCGGATCGAGGGGGGCATGCCATGATACTAGCAGAGGTCAAAATTAAAGTGGATAAACCTAGTCCAAGTTGGGTAACATATAGACCACTTAAGAACATTCTCATGGAGCGGCTGAACTCAGATCTATGTGCCATACAGTGGGTCAACTTTAATGAAATCAACGGAGTTAACCAACTAGTAAAAGCATTTACATCATGTATTACAGGGCTGATGGATTTACATGCCCCAATTAGAGGTGGGCGCCGATATAAAATTGGCCGGCGGCGGCGCGCCGACTTTTTGACCTCGGCGGCGGCGGCGTCGGCGGCGTGACCTTGTTTGACCTTTGTTTATTAGGGATTTTTTTAAATCTGCTTTTTTAGTATCTGTCGTCAAGACTAATCAGGTGATTTGCAGTTGGTTGGGGTTTGGGCCACTAGAGTGGTTTACCCTAGTAAATTAGCTCTCTTGATCATAGATACTTTGATATTTGGATAGCGGGTTTGGCTGAGATCAGGTTCTCATGTATTTCCTAAAGGCGAGCGTGCCAATGTGCCGATAAAAGTACCTATCCTTAATATGTATTTTTGAGCTCTTTGGAGGCACATAGTTAATGTTGGATTAGCTGACTGTCGGAAATATTATATTCAGTTCTGTTTTATTTATATTTATGGTCTTTCCATGTCATCCTACGGTCCAGGATTTTAATGCAGGTTGATTGCAGCAATTTAGATAGATAGATAGATAGATAAATGGTTTATTTGCAAAACACATTGACACACAAGAAGCAAAACGTAAGATTAATAAACACAGGAGTAGCAGGAAAGATATACGAGGGCTGCACTAAAAGTATCGGGAATGGAATATTTCCACTGTTCCAGTCATATTAAAATCTATTTAATTGCAAAGTCCAGGGTTTTAAAAATCGTATACCATTTATTTATTTAAAAAAAGATTCTCGGTCGTATCACAAGGTCTTGTCAAACTTGTTTAGTCGTTGAGAAAATGGAATTGACTCGAGAAAATTCAAGAGCGATGATTTATTATGACTTTTGAAGTGGTTTAACACAAAAACAGTNTAGATGCTTATACAAATGAACGTATAAAATGAGTTTATTTTTAAAAGTATAGGTACAGGGTGGAAACGATAAGTGATTTCACTTGATTTTTAATTATACAAGATATCGAGAAACTGTTTACTGTTCCTGTAAGTGCTTCATGAGCTCTTTAAAACAATAACAATAAATAGGTCAAAGAATAAAATGGATCTATGCGAAAATTCAATGTTTCCGAATTTCATACTAAATGTATGCCGCCAGCCATACCTACCATAATTATTAGAAGTGTTAATTTTTTAAATTTGAATTTTTAATTGAGTAATATATAATAATCAAACAACAAACTCGTAAATTGCATTCTTATTTAAATTGTTTACGGAAAACATGATTTTAGGTTTAACTTGCTACAATATCGTCAAGAGATACTTATTAATAAATACTAAATAAACAGATAAACTGTATTAAATGTATGNTTCCTTTTTGGTAAAGGAACACATTGGCATATTTATTTTTTCAAAATTCGGCGCTTGATTTTTGAGCGACGCTAAGTCTATGAAGCTCTAATATCAGCCCACCGTGCGCTGGTAGGGCCCTAAAGATACGGAGACATGTAAAGTGCCCCTTGGGCTACCTTTTTTTATTTATTGTAGTTTGACGTTCATAGGTGCCACTAGTGGTCTAACTCTAAATTGGTTTATTCCACTATTCCCCGCTATCAATCCCCGTCAACGGGGATTAAGTAGTGGACTTTTTGTTCACTAATCCCCGTTAACGCCAATTGGAGCTTATAATGGGGATTAATGAACTAAAAAGTTCATTAATCCCCATTAGGTACGTTAAAAATAAAATCCAAATATAACGGGGATTAATGAACTTTTTAGTTAATTTATCCCCATTATAAGCTCCAATTGGCGATAACGGAGATTATCAACGGGGAATAGTGGTATAAGCCTTCTAAATTGAATTAAAATATTTTTGATTTTGAATGATCCCTCCGTCCCCGCAGTTCTTCTTCGTGGTAGCCTTGGTGCTGGCCCTCGCCGCCGCCGCACCACAGCTCGATGTTCTCGGCAAAGTTCCTATTCTTGGAGAGGTGGCCAAACCTGTCGAAGAAGTAGCTAAAGGTAAGGACTTGAAACTTCTTTAAACCACTTTCTTTTCACGGTTCACCATCGCGTGGTAAGCGTCATGACGCTGCAATAAATGGTTACTACCCGTTCGCGCTAAGTTTGCCGGTCCGTGGAATTGGTGAAGTGCGCGTCCCGTCCCCAACCGCGATTAAACGCAATTAGTTTGTGATTAAACGCAATTACTGTGTCTTATTTTACGCAAATACACAATTTTTATCAATAATCTATCGGCTTTACCTAGTTAGACTGTATAAAGACGCTCCGCGCAATTTTGATAAATAGGAGTGAAAATAATAATCTAAATCAAAGTTACTATACACCATTTTAATTGTAAGGACATGGACCTCCAATCAGTGAATTCGATTCGTAAACAATAAGGTTGTAGTGAGTGTTATTAGCAAATATATTTTGCAAAAAGTGAGTTATCGACTTGAAGTGACAATATGTGTTGGTGTATGTGAAACAATTTTGATTGTGTATACCCGACACAAATACCACTTGCGTCCACAGTAGTGTCAAGTACAACTGTTTAGTTCGTCCGTGACTCACAAGAGACTTTGACGCAACGGCTAACACGGCCGGTCAAACCCAGCGCACCACGGTTCGAGTCTCACTTGAAACTTTATTTTTGCCTTTTTTTTTGTTTATTTTTTGTTGTTGTCTCCTTTCTTCTTTACTNATTAAAAATTATACATAGGAAGCTGATTCCTAAATTACAAGAACAACGGAAATTGTGTCTTTTTGTTTTTTTATGATAAAAATGTTATAATACATATTTTCAGCTCAGAGCATTTCTTAAACCTAATTAGCATACGTAAATAATCAATATTAAATATTAAATTCCACCTACAAAAATGTTGAATGAAAATTTTATCACTTTGTATATTGGGGTGTGTCATACCCCACCTGGTACGGGACGTAACTTTTAGTCACCTCGTACACGGAGGGTTAAAATAAACTCAATGAACTTGAAACCACTATGACTGAAACAAAAATGAACATTATATTGTGCCTGAGTAATTGTAAAACAATTGAAAGTATAATTTCCTCAGAAACAATTACGTGCTTACCCCAAATGACTCACTCGACGTAGATTGCGTTGCTTAATATTCAGTTTAAGGGTAATAAATCTACTTACTGGTGATTAAAATTTAAAGTGTACTAAAAGTATGTACAACTTCAAACACTTTTTATCGGAAAATCGCATCTATTACAAATACACAAGGTGCTACAGTGCTTAGCTTGAAGTCATGTCCGTTCACAATATACAGTCAACCAATTCTGTACTGCGTAAAGTTTTTAAGGTGCAATTTTTCGCGAACTAATTACTCTATTAATTTTCATTGCTGTTTTAGACGTAAAGCTCTCATAATAACTTATAATTATGCATAATTAAAACAAATGAAGATATTATTAGGCCATTTTAATAACAAAGCAAAGATGCGTTAGAAAACTATTAAGTCTATAATAACGCTTTCATTATACTTTAAAATGTGTGGTCTAAGTTTGTAAAGGGCGCTACACACTTACGGCATAAACGGCACATGTAAGGTTAGTAAGTCACTGCAGTACTTCTCAAATACGCTAGGTGGCGCTTTACCTAGTAGACAATACAAAGACGCGTCCGCGCAATTTTGATAAATAATAGTGAAAATAGTGATCAAAATCAAACATACTATACATCATTTTAATTATAAGGTTATGGAACTCTAATCAGTGAATTCGGTTCGTAAACAACAATGCTGCAGTGAGTGTTATTTGCAAATACATTTGCGAAAAGTGAGACATTGGCTTGAAGTGACAATCTGTGCTGGTGGATGTGAAACAATCCGAATGTGGTATACCCGACACAAATAACACTTGCGTCCACAGTAGTGTCGAGGACGACTGTACATTTCATTTAGTACTCACAAGCGACTTTGGCACATCGGCTTACACGGCCGGTCCAACCCAATACGACCCGGTTCGAATCCCACAATATTTTTTCTTTTTTCTTTTTTATTTTTCTTTTTATCTTCACCTTTCTACATCAAGACAATGTCGCTTCAAAATAGAAAAATCTGTGGTGGTTGTTTCGAGCCAATTGAAGATAGTAGAAGGTGGCTAGCGTGCCACCTCTGCAAGGAATTTTTCGACCTGAAGTGTGCCGGCGTTACTGAAAGGCGCTTCCACGGCACATTGGTTGGTGAGCGTAGGGATGCGTGGAGGTGCGTCACATGCGTCAGTAAGCAGCCCAAGAGGGACAACACTGAGACGCCGGTCCGTGCTGCGGCAGACGGTGTTACGATGCGGAGGGGGGCCGCCACCATGAGCCCCTCTAGTCTCGACGCCTCTATGCTAGAGCGGGACGGTCAGGAGAATCCGAATGCTACTGCTCTGAACATCACTATGGAGGTGACGGATGTTCAGGCGCTCTTCTTGGAGATCAGGCAACTTCGCGAGGAGATGCGCGACGAGTTCAGATCCGTGCGGGCCCAGATCGACACACTGATCGGCAGAGTCTCGTTGTGCGAGCGCAGGGTCGACGCTCACAACGAACGCCTGGGCGACATCGAGCGGAGACTCGAGGCCGTGGAGTCCCGTCAGGCGACGATCAGCTCGGCGCCCGGGTCGGAGACACTCACGCAGATGGAGCGGACGATATCGGAGCTCAAGTTGGAACTCAACGAGCGGGACCAGGAGGCGCTCGTCGCCGACTTGGAGATCGGCCACCTCCCGGAGGAGAAGGGGGAGAACGTCCTCCACAGCGTCGCCGTGCTCGCCGGGCGCCTGGGCGTGGCGCTGGACGAGCGGGACGTGGTGTTCGCGGAGCGCGTGGGCGCGCCGCCGGCCGAGGCGGGCGGGCGCGCGCGCCGCGTGGTGGTGCGGCTGGCGCGGCGCCACCTGCGCGACGAGCTGCTGCGCGCCGCGCGCGTGCGACGCGGTCTGGCTGGCGAGGGCGGCGCGCGTGTGTTCATCAACGAGCGCCTGACGCGCTCCAACCGTCAGCTATTCCACCGGGTGCGCGAGGAGTGCCGCAGGCTGCAGTGGAGGTACTCCTGGACCAGGCGTGGGCGCATATTCGCTCGCAAGAGCGACGGTGCGCAAGTGTTTCAACTCCGGTCGCTGGGAGATCTTGAGCGGGTGTTTGGTTCACCGTCAATATGACTAATTGGGACCTGCAATTATAAAAAAATATTTGACATATGTGCGAGAATGATAATTTCAACTGATTTAATTTTCAAAAATATACCTGTATTTGTTTCTCTTCTATTTGATGTTATAGTTATTAATGTGATTTATGTTTTGTATCAATTCCAAATGCACTGGTTTGCCATAGAAACAGTCGTGGTGATGGATGGAATTAATTGTAATCCATTGTATTATTTATTTATTTTAAACTATAGTTCTTTAAATACATTAATGCATGTACACAGGAGTGTAATTTTGTGTCAATTAATAATTCAATTTGTTCATAAACTTATTATTATACATTTAATTATTGACTCAAATAATGGTCGTATTTTTTTGCATGACATAATTCAATCTTATTACATTTCTTGTGTTTATCTAGTTCGTATCTTGAATTATATAATTAATGACATATCTCTTAACCTAATTTTCTACATTAATTCCTGTTCCTTTTATTTGTTTATATTTACAGTTATCACAATTATTAATGACATTTTGATATCCCGATATTGGTGTTTGTATACATATCCCAAATTACAGGCCTTAAGCTAAAGAATCTGTTGATAGGGTTATAATGCAGGGTCTCTCTGCACAGGGCATGATGAATTTACTGCTGCAATGATGGAACTGGCTCCAGATATTATGGCCATCAATGAGACCTGGTTGCGATTGGGTGAGGGGGATAGGGCGCCAAAATTGTCTGGCTATCGTCTGAGACATATTCCGAGGCCGGATCAAGTTCGGGGGGGTCGGGGAGGGGGGGTTGGTTTTTATATACGTAGGGGTTTAAATGTCAGCCGACTGGAATGTCCTGCGTCTATACCATCTGTCGAACAAATGTGGCTGAAAGTTCGCTCACACCAGCAGAATATAGTCGTGGGAACTGCATATAGACCACCCTGGCTAGACGTAAATATATTCCTAGACGCTATCACTGAATCGGTCACCTCCTTCTCGCACTCTGACGGCTTGATATTGGTGGGAGACTTCAACATCAATCTCCTTGATGTCAGCGGCCGTGGGTATAGAGCCTTCGCACAATTCATTGAGAGTCTGAATTTAAGTCAAATTGTCAAAGAACCCACCCACTTCACAGACCATAGTGCCACTTTAATAGATGTTGTGTGCACGGATGTTCGGGTTCCAAAACTGACAGTTAGGCACTCACCAGACCGAGGTGGGCATGCCATGATACTGGCAGAAGTCAAGATTAAAGTGAACATACCAAGTCCTAGATGGGTGACATATAGACCGTTTAAGAACATTCTGGACCATAGTGCCACTTTAATAGATGTGTTGTGCACTGATGTTAGGGTTCCCAAGCTGACTGTGAGGCACTCGCCAGATCGAGGAGGGCATGCCATGATACTAGCAGAGGTCAAAATTAAAGTGGATAAACCTAGTCCTAGATGGGTGACATATAGACCGCTCAAGAACATTCTCATTGACCAGCTGAACGCAGATCTATGTGCCATACGGTGGGGAAATTTTAATGAAATCAACGAAGTTAACGAACTCGTAAGAGCTTTTACAACATGTATTATAGGGTTAATGGATTTACATGCCCCAATAGTGACAAAAAAGTTTAAAAACCCTCCCCATCCGTGGGTAACGGACACTGTCAGAGCTATGATGCGTATTAGGGACAACTACCACAACAAATACAAAAAACTCAAAACATCTGCTCTAAAGGACTGTTACAGACAAATGAGAGGGATGGTACTGGAGGCTTTGGAACAGGAGAAAAAATGTTATTTTGAAAAGCATATAAATAGCAATATAGGAAATTCTAAGAGATTGTGGAGGAATCTTAAGAATACTGTACTCCCTAACAATGGGAAGACAAGTGAGCTTCCACCCGAGTTTAATGACCCTAATGCTATAAACCAGCATTTTCTGAACATACCAGGCTCAAACAAAGTGTCAATTTCAGCCTTATCTTTTTATGAGCATAACAGGTACGATGCTTCAGCTACTTTTGCACTTCATGCGGTAACTAGCAAAGAGGTACTGGAGGTTATTAGAGGATTGAAATCTAATGCGCAGGGATGTGATGGCCTGGCACTGGATGTCTTACTGCTCACTCTGCCACAGTCGCTACTATTATCAATTGCTCACTGCAGCAGGGAGTGTTTCCTGATGACTGGAAGGTAGCGGCGGTGACACCTTTGCCCAAGACCAACCGGCCGGCTTCACTCCAAGACCTTCGTCCTGTCAGTATCCTTCCATGCCTCTCCAAGGTATTGGAAAAAATTGTATGCAAGCAGTTAACCACTTACTTGGAGAGGCATAATATACTTCCAGAGTTGCAGTCGGGTTTTCGTGGGGGGCATAGCACTGCGGCTGCTCTGGCGGATGTTGTGGACAACCTTCTTGCAGCTCAGGACCGTGGTATGGTGTCCGCGTTGCTTCTTCTTGACTTCTCACGAGCATTCGACTCAATTAACACGTCGCTGCTGCTGTCGAAACTCAGATTCTATGGTCTTGAACAAAGCGCTATCAAATGGTTCCACAGTTATCTGCATGGACGGAGTCAGTATGTGGAGCTGAGGCTGAGCAACGGTAAAAAACTTTGTTCACAATCTCTACCTGTGAACCGTGGAGTCCCACAAGGCTCGATCTTGGGGCCGATCCTCTACATTTTGTACAGTGCTGATATCATAGGACATATTGCACACTGTCGTTATCACTTGTATGCAGATGATTTACAGCTGTACCTTTCATTTGTGCCTTGTGATCGGGGCGGAGCTGTGGCCTTGATAAACAGGGACTTACTTATCCACCTGGTGCTCTGACAACTGCCTTACCTTAAATCCAAAAAAGTCTAAGCTCATGCTAATAGGGGNAAAATTTTGATGTTTAATTCATTAAAATGCATTTTTATCATGTCTAAGATAGTCAAAATTCGAGAAAATTACTGCAAGAAAACAGGTCACATCTCATAATCTAAAAGTCATTTGGCAACATAAACTACTTTATACTTAAGAAGAAACATAGTACTTTTATTGTGTGAAAAAGAAAAAACATCTATCTTCAATCTTCAAATGAAAAATTAATTTGAAAATACTATAAAATCGGGTGCATCAAATGGCATAAATCAGTCGTGCTTTGGCACTCGTAGACGCCGGGTCTATGTCAGTTGACTGCCCACTGACGTATATGCGTCACGCGTGATTTTTTCGTAAATTGTAGTAGGATTGAGTACTTTTGATCCGCAAGTATTTTTAAATTATTTGTTTAGGTAAATCGGACTTGTAAGAAGAACGGTCACGCCCCATACAAAAAAAACCCAGACCCGACAGAAACGAGACATACCTCAGTTTTTTTGTCATGTCTTAATTAGTTAAATTATATATTTTTTATATTCGAAATCTATGTATAACACCAAAATATTACCCTTTGTTTTTTGTTCAGGAGTTATACAAAAACTAATACAAAATGCCTATTTATCACTAAAATTGGTAAATGTATGTACCTAAATGTCTATTACAGCTGCTATGGAATGTATCTAGGTGACCGGGAGATACAGCCGGATTATACAGGGTGGTTATACATATGGAACGATAAGTGATCTCACTCGATTATTTCTAAACTACACAAGATATCGAAAAACTAGTTACTGATTCTGAAAGTGCTTCACGAGCTCTTTCAAATGGTACCAATAATAGGTTACAGATTATGGAAGCTGGTAACATTGAATTTTTGGATTTTGTAACTTCTCGCGGAGACGCTCGCGCAGATGGAGCGAACGATATCGGAGCTCAAGTTGGAACTCAACGAGCGGGACCAGGAGGCGCTCGTCGCCGACTTGGAGATCGGCCACCTCCCGGAGGAAAAGGGGGAGAACGTCCTCCACAGCGTCGCCGTGCTCGCCGGGCGCCTGGGCGTGGCGCTGGACGAGCGGGACGTGGTGTTCGCGGAGCGCGTGGGCGCGCCGCCGGCCGAGGCGCCCGCGTGGTGGTGCGGCTGGCACGTCGCCACCTGCGCGACGAGCTGCTGCGCGCCGCGCGCGTGCGCCGCGGGCTGGCCGGCGAGGGCGGCGCGCGTGTCTTCATCAACGAGCGCCTGACGCGCTCAAACCGTCAGCTATTCCACCGGGTGCGCGAGGAGTGCCGCAGGCTGCAGTGGAGGTACTCCTGGACGAGGCGAGGGCGCATATTTGCGCGCAAGAGTGATGGTGCGCAGGTATTTCAAATCCGCTCGCTGGGGGATCTTGGGAGGGTGTTTGAGTCATCTACAACATGACTAACCGAGACCTGCAATTACAATAAAAAAGGTCAAAACAGTGCCAGCATGATAAGGTTAAATAATTTATTAATGTTAAATTTTATACCTGTTTTTGAATCTGATATCCTGGTATTTAAAATTATGAATCCAATCTCCCGTGTAATTGATATAATATTTATTGTTGAAATTACGTATAGACTCCAAATGTATTTGTTAAAAGTCCGAATTATTGATAAACATAATTGCAATAAATTATATTATATATTTCCATTGAAATACATTTATTACACTGATGGTTATAACTATGTACAAAAGTATGAAATAATATACCGTTTGCTACCTAAAATCACTATGTTACATGGAATATTTGAACTATTTGACAATTGTATTCTATTGTATTACTTATTTCAAACTCATTTCATTTCTGTAACTTATTTAATTCATAATAATATCTCTAATTATATAATCGTTAATTTATGTTCTAATCTAATTATCTATATTATTTATTACAATATTTACATGATACTATTTTCAATTATGAACACTTTGACATCCCGCTATTGTTGTTTATTTACATGTCCCGATTTGCAGGCCTTAGGCTAAAAAATCTATTGTTAGGTCTATATAATGCAGGGTCTCTCTGTACAGGGCATGACGAATTTACCGCTGCGATGGTGGAACTNATGGTTACAGGGTTATCCATTGTTTTTGGGACACCCTGTATAGTTAGTATAGGGCCCTAACGTAGGCTTTGGCGTGTATGGAGAGCAGCCGAAGCTTAGGCTATCTCAAATCCTGGGTAAATTTGCCTCTATCTTTTAGGCAGAAGTCTACGCCATTATTGAATGTGCGGAAGCTAACCTGCGAAAAAATTATGCCATCCACATAATTTACATTAACTCAGACAGTCAGGCCACGCTGATGGCCTTAAACTTCAACTTAATCACCTCAAAGTTGGTAGAAAACTGCATGAGTCGACTGAATATCCTAGGAAAACGTAACAGAGTAACGCTGAGATGGGTTCCAGGTCACGCGGGAATCGTGGACAGTGAAAATGCCAACGAACTGGCCAGAACGGGAGCGGAGGGAACACAATATGGTCCAGAACCCTTTTGTGTCATTCCCAAAAGTCTCGCTCGAATGACCCTGGAGAACATCTATTTAAACAAATCCTTTAAGACATGGTCAGACACGCCAGGATTCACTCATTCTAAAGCTCTTATAAAAGCCTATGACCGAAAATGCTCTAAGCAGATCATGAGTAGGATCAAAATGCGCATCTTAGTTCGAGCCTTCACTGGACACTGCAGCTTAAACAAGCACTTGTCCACTATGGGACTGTCCGAATCAAGACCGTGCAGGATGTGCCAAGAGGCAGATGAAACGCCACTACACATTCTCAAGGACTGCGGACCTTTGATGCGCAAGCGGAGCTTACACCTGGGCAAACACATCCTAAGCCCACATGATGTAAAAAATATCGCCCCCCAAAAGATACTGCAATTCCTAATGGATGCAGGACTACAGGCAAACTGTAAGGAAAATAGCGGCGATCACAATAGATCGGTACCGGTCGCAGTGATACTATGACTTTATTGCCGCTCATTTAATAGCCGCTTAACTCAATAAAAAATAGTTTTTCTGCGTTTGAAACACAAATTAGTACAGTATTGGAGAGGAATCAATTGCAAATAGTTTGTACAGTATCAGTATCGGCGCGCCGACAGCTGGTCGTCGGCGGCGGCGGCGTGAAAAAATTCGCGGCGGCGGCGGCGCGCCGGCGTGGCGCCCACCTCTAGCCCCAATAGTGACAAAAAAGTTTAAAGCCCCTCCACATCCATGGGTAACGGACACTGTCAGAGCCATGATGCGTATTAGGGACAACTACCACAACAAATATAAAAAATTCAAAACATCTACACTAAAAGACTGTTATAGACAAATGAGGCAGGTGGTACTGGAAGCGATGGAACAGGAGAAAAAATGTTATTTTAAAAAACATATAAATAATAATATAGGCAATTCAAAGAGATTGTGGATGAATCTCAAGAATACTGTACTCTCAAACAATGGGAAGTCTAATGAGCTGCCACCTGAGTTTAATGACCCTAATGCTATAAATCAGCATTTTCTGAGCATACCAGGTTTGAATGGGGTGTCAATTTCGGATTTGTCTTTTTATGAGCATAACAGGTATGATGATTCTGTTACTTTTACTCTCAAAACGGTGACTAGCGAGGAGATAATGGAGGTTATTAGAGGACTGAAATCTAATGCGCAGGGATGTGATGGCTTGGCACTGGATGTCTTGCTGCTCACCCTACCGCACTCGCTCGAGACCTTAACCACTATTATTAATTGCTCAATACAGCAAGGAGTGTTTCCTGATGATTGGAAAGTGGCAGCAGTGACACCTTTGCCTAAAACCAATCAACCGACATCAGCCCAGGATCTTCGTCCTGTTAGTGTCCTTCCATGTCTCTCCAAGGTATTGGAGAAGGTTGTATGCAAGCAATTAACTTCTTATTTGGAGAGGCATGGTATACTTCCAGATTTCCAGTCGGGTTTTCGAAGGGGGCATAGCACTGCAACTGCTCTGGCGGATGTTGTGGATAACCTTCTCGCGGCTCAGGACAGTGGGATGGTATCAGCGTTAGTGCTTCTTGACTTTTCAAGAGCATTCGACTCAATTAACACGTCGCTGCTGCTGTCGAAACTCAGATATTATGGTCTTGATCATAGAGCTATCAATTGGTTCCACAGTTATCTACATGGACGGAGTCAATATGTGGAGCTGAGGTTGAGCAATGGGAAAAAGCTTCGTTCGAACTCTCTGCCGGTGAATCGCGGGGTCCCACAGGGCTCAATTTTGGGGCCGATTCTTTACATTCTGTACAGTGCTGATATTGTGGGACATATTGCACACTGTCGTTATCATATGTACGCGGATGACTTACAGCTGTACCTATCATTTGCGCCTAGTGACCAGGGCGGAGCTGCGGCCATGATAAACAAGGACTTACTAAGCGTATCCACCTGGTGCTCCGAAAACTGCCTCACCTTAAACCCAAAAAAGTCTAAGCTTATGCTAATAGGGACACCTAAAAGTATAGCTAAGATCAACAGTCTAAGTATTACATTAAATGGGGAGTCAATAGAGAGGGTTGAGGATGCAAGGAACTTAGGTTTGGTGCTTGACAGTCATCTCAAATTTGAAAAAACACATAACTGAGTGTGCAAGGAATTGTTTCTACAGATTAAAGCTCCTGTACAGAATAAGACCCTATTTATGTGAAAGACTTAGGATAAATCTTTGTGAGGCACTTATCTTGTCCAAGCTGAACTATTGCGATACTGTCTATGGGCCGTGTTTGTTGGCAAGTTCTGCTAAATTATTGCAACGAGTACAAAATGCATGTGCCCGCTTCTGCTTCCATATCCCACCACGATCTCATGTTACACCTTTCCTCATTACTGCCAATCTGATGAAGATGGAGGCCCGTAGAAGGCTGCACCTAGCGACAATGTTGTTTGGAGTTATCAGCACAGGGCGGCCAAAATATCTCTT